GTCGCTGCGGGACCTGCTGCTGTGGGCCGAGAGTCTGGACGGCCTGGCCGGCGCGCTGCTCTTCACCCTGGGCTTCATCCTCGTCTCCTTCCCGTGCGGCTGGGGCTACATCCTGCTCAACGTGGCGGCCGGCTACCTGTACGGCTTCGTGCTGGGCATGGGGCTCATGGTGCTGGGCGTGCTGGTGGGCACCTGCGTGGCCCACGTGGCCTGCAAGCGGCTGCTGGCCCGCTGGGTGCAGGCGCGCATCCAGGGCAGCGAGCGGCTCGGCGCCGTCATCCGTGTGGTGGAGGGAGGCAGCGGGCTCAAGGTGGTGGCCCTGGCCAGGCTCACGCCCATCCCTTTCGGGCTGCAGAACGCTGTCTTCTCGGTGAGTGCCCCCAGGCCCGGCGCTGGTGGAGGGTCAGAGCCCGCAGAAGGGCCACGGTCGCACTGCCCACTTCCTTGGTGCCTGGGCTCTTGGGGAAATGCGCTGTGGGGGCCAGAGTCGGCCCACTTCCCTGGTGCCTGGGGAGACCCACCACCAGGGCCAGAGTCCTGTCACCCGTTTACCTGGCACCTGGGGAGACCCGCTATGGGAGCCAAAGATGTGTCACCCGCTTCCCTGGAGCCTGGGGAGACCTGCCATGGGAGCCACAGTTGTCTGCCAATTCCTGGTGTGTGCACGGGAAACCCGTCACCATCTTTGTTTCATTGATTCCTGCATTAAACAGCCAGCATGGACCCAGCTCCTCCCCATGCTCTGGCCTTGCAGTCTTGCCTCTGTCCTCTTGAAACAGTTTCTTTCACTTGTTGCTTTGGGAAGGAGCTAAAAAACAAGCCCCCTTTGAAATTGAAGCACGTGCCCACTGAGGGGCTGTGTGCACAGATGTGATGGCAGGGGCAGAGCCGAACCCTGCAGTGAGGCTTGGGCAGGTGGATTTTGGTGACCCTGCAGCACCGTGTTGACTTTGGTAGACCCTGTGCAGAACTGACTGCCAGGTCTGGGCTTTGCTGACTTCACAGGTAGGGCAGGGGAACTGGACACCCAGGACTGCTGTGATATGCATCTAAGTCAGTGTATGAAAGCTAATTATTCTTCCCTCTCCTTCCCCCCCCCCCCAATTTTCCAGTCGCAGTAATCATGTAGTGATGTTATAAGCAATGATAGTGGAGTCAGTTTTGGACAGATATTGATGGCTACATGGAGAGTACTCTAACAAATACTCCCCCAGTGAAAGTTCCTCTTCCAGAAAAAGGTTTGATGTTTTGCTTCTCCTATCCCCTACTCTTTCAGGCAAAGTATAAATCTGTGTGGGGATTTAAGGCTCTGGGGACACTTCGTGAAGTGAGAGTTTTTGGAATTATTTTGCGTCTTAGAAAATAATAAAGATGCTCATACTTTTGAACAGATGTGCTGTTTAAAAGAAATCTCAAGATGCTTTCTGTACAGCAGAACCTCTGCAGAGGGGTAGAAAGGTTTTACAGCAACTCTTAAAAAATTATTCAGAGTAAATGAGTCTCACATTAAATTAAACACTTCAGGTCTGGAGACAGTTGCATTAAAACAGATTCAGAAGGAGGATTAACATTTCCTTTGGCATTTAGAGGGACATTTAATCCAAATAATGAGTGATTTTATTTGTTTGTTTTTTAAACCTGTGTATGGTAAACTACACACTGTGATTAGCTGTGGTAATCTATGCGATTACCAGGATAGAAAGAGATGAGAGGAAAAACAGATTTTTTTCTGTTGAATGAATTCAGCCTGTTGTACATAGCAGATTAGTTGTCAATAATAATAAAAATACAAATGGAAGAAAACTATCCCTACAAAACATAGACATATGAAAATTTTAAATCCATGCAAATTGGCAAGAAAGGAAATCTGGAACTTCTGTCATAGTTGGAATTGCTCTAGTGTAGATTCCCTTCTGGAAACGGGCTAGCTTTCAAGTTGGTTTCTCTTTGTACTTTTAGAAGTATAGGAAAGCTCATTCTTTCTCCTGAAGTCATTCTGTCTATAGTATCCAATTTTGGTCATGCATTTAGCTCAGTTGAATCTGCAGGCCAGAAATTGTTCTTACTGTTCAAAATGGTTTTGGTTTGTTTATGTAAGGGAATTTAGAACAGTGGTTCTCAACCTTGTTAGCCTCTAGGCACCCTTTGGAAAATGCCAACTCATAGCTTTCACTCGTTTTTTTGACTATGGAAAAATAATAGAGCGATTCTTTTGTTGCAGATTGCTCAGGAAAACCACAGCAGGTCAGAGTATTTTTGATGATATGGATTCCTATTTGGAATCTCTGGGTTTATCTTGTGCATCATGTGTAGGTGTTAGCAGACATAATGGGCATTTGTACACATTTGTGTTGCAGCAGCAGGCACTTTTAAAAGTGCCTGGTGCTGCATCGTGTGCCTTTGTATAAATGATAAAATGCGTGTCAGTGTTGAGAAAATGGGGGTGGTGCATTTTTTAACTAAAGCACGTTTGATGCGTTTTAGTTAACACATCAAAGGTGTTTTAGTTCAAAAGTGCACCACCGCCATTTTTTTTAGCGCTGACACGCATTTCACCATTTATACAAAGGCATGCAATGCAACACAGTGCCAGGCGTGTCAGCTCGCATGCAGAGCAGACTTGATTAATCGAGTCTGCTCTGACGTGCCGGGTCGGGTCTCAGGCGCATTGGAGCAGACAAATGTATGTGTATAAATACCCGATGGTGCTAATGCTGTCCAGCATCCTATGACACCCTCAATAGGATCTCGTAACACCCTGGTTGAGAATCAGTGTTCTAGAAATTAGGCATTTTGGTTTGTTGTGTTGAATCGCATGGAACTGTACAAGTTAAACCCGTTTTCTTCTCTCCTGAAGCCCTGATCCTTCAAACATTTTAAGCAAACATTTCTACTGTGATTAGGCTCATTAAAATTATTATTAAAGGTGTAGTTGAATGCTGTTTTTGTGGTCTAACAAAGGCATATGCAATTTGATACACCCTAACTTCAAGAAGTCCTAGTACCAACCCAGAATACTTATGGAACTATTGTACCTAAGGAAATAAAGGTGTGCATGGGGCTTTTTAGCCTGAAAATACAGACCGTGTCCCAAAAAAGCCTGTAACAATTAAAAGAAACAGCAGTATTCCTTCTTTTTAGGTACATTTTGCTACTTGCATGTTATGAACACGATTATGGTTAACTCAACCATTTTAAAATTATTTTTATAATAATGTTTGGGAGCTAGTTTTCTTGTATGTAGAAGGTAATGTATAGAGTCTGGGAAATACCAGCTGTTCATTTACCCATCACATGGAGAGTCCACAGCAAGCAGAGGTGACTCCTACATGAGACCCTTTTAAAAAGGACAGGTCACAATTGGAAGAAAATATGGCTTGACAGCTGCTCATCATTCTGCTATGCCCGCTTGAGACAAAATGCAGGACATTGCGTTTTAAAGTAATGTTCTAAATTGGCCTTCTGTGTTGGTAACTTGTTCTGAGCCTTAGTGACAATAACCTCTGATGATACTGAAGGAAATTAGTGTAGAAACAACAAATGAGCATCAGTTGATCACGTGTGTTGAGTTATCTGTATAGTCATACATCTCTATTTTGGACTTTGGTGAAGTAAATGCAGTTGTCTTTATTTGATGAACTGGCATTGCCCGCTCCCAGGGCAGTGCAGCAGGAGCTGGGGTGAGTGGAGACAGGCAGAGCCCTGCGGGGTTTGGAGCAAGGTGCAGCCCAGTAGCTGCAGGCAGCTGGCGGGGGCTGCTGCAGCCGGGGCTGGGGTGAGTGCTGCGCCCTGCATTGTCCGGGGCTTCACTTGCCTGCACTCACCCCAGCCCGTGCTGGAGCAGCCCCGGGAGCAGCTGACACAAGAAACTATCCCTATCTCTTACATTATAACGTTGGGTTCACTTTATTCAAATTAAATTTATGTGGCGTTCTCCAGGAACGCATGTAGTGGATAAATCAAGAGAAACCTGTATATAAAAATCTACCTAACTGGTGAAATAGAAGTTGATACAAAAGAATAAGAAATTAACTCTGAGTGAGAAGCCGAACACTTCTTTTCGTATCCCTCTGCCTCTTGGAGAGTGGTAGGGTGCTGGGATTCCTATCATTGTGCTATTCCTGGAGCTTGCTTATCATGTATGCTATCAGATAACTACTACACAGGTTGTCTGAAGATCCTATCTCCTCTCCTTTGACATGGCTTCTGTCAGGTTTCTCACCACTGGCCACCAGAACAACAATGATTCTAACACAGACTCCTGTTAAAGTCATTCTGTTACTGCTTGGAGAATGCTAAGCAGTAAGAGAAGCACTGGATTTGTTTGTTTTAAGCCTGAGAGGACTGTACTGGCTCCCATTTGAAAGGGCAGCTGCTTCTCTAAAGGGCTGGTACAGAAGAAAACAAAAATCTTTCTAGTGACCTTGACACATTCCTGTTCTTGGGGTATGAGTTGGGTCCAGCATGGACCAGTGGAACCTTCTTGCAGCTGTGCCCTCCACAATTTGGAGGAGGAGCTGTAAAAGAAGCATGGCATGATGACTGTTGGTTCTTTCCAGCCATGGCAGCAGGTGCATAGGGGCCTTAGACTCCTTAGACCATTTCTAGTGCTGCTACGTTCTTAGCCTAGGCATTAGCATTTTTATGTATGTGTGGTAGGAGAGTGGGGAGAAATGGAAGGCGGAAGGAGCTATTATTTGACCAAAGATCTCAGTGCCATACTACAGGTACTCAGCTCTGCTGTCAGAACCAGGGACAATGAAAGAAGGGTTCAAGAGTTCAGTCTCTTGTGCATGCAACAGCTTCCTGCTTCAGAGGCCAGTGTTAGGGGAAATTTTAGGGATTGAACCTCCTAGAGTCAAACATATGAATCCATAAAGTTAGGGGGAGGGCACAGATCTCTGCTTTGATCCCCAAAACATCAAAAAGCCTAGTTAAATCTTGGCACAGATGGAACCAGCTAAAGGCGTCAGTCATATTTAATATGCAAATAATAGATCAGACTAGGTCTCTTTCATCAGTGCTGCATGCCTACCTAACTTTTTGCCACTGTATATTACTTAAGTTCTAAACCACAGGCTGAGAGCATCTTCTGCTTCAGATATAATATCTTGAGCTGTAGCGTCCCAGAGGAATCAGTGATGCAACTTGTGGTTACCTGCATTTGCACATCTTCCAGAAATAAAAACCCTGATAGAAAACTTTCTGTTCGAGGGTTGAGTACTATTTGGCTTCAGAACAGACCAGGCTCTAGGCAAATTGAAAGACCTTGTGTCCTTTGCAAGGTTTCTTAAGAATTGCTGACCCCCTAAGAAAAGATTTTGACTGCCAGTGTTTACCAGAGAAAACCAAACATAGCCTTTACTTCCTATTTCTTTCCAAGCTAGGAACACCAGGTACAGCCTTGATCAGCATAGACCCAACCCCACAAATCATGACCTAAAGGAACACTGGCTGCATCATTTTTCTGTGCACTAGCTTCTTGGCTTGCGGTTTAATGAGATGCAGGAATCTCAGGCCAGTTCTGAACTTACTGGCTCTTCCTTTGGAAATGGTCTGAGATCCTCATGTCCCCTACTGTTTCTGGATCAGGAAATAAAAGTGGATCTTTGCAACTAAACTGATTTATTTTCTGTTCACCGACGGAGAAATACCCACAGGTGTTTAATTAATCTTTGTGATTTGTTTCCCAGTTCCACTAGATTTAATGACAATGCCCTACTTAACAAATCCCATACCTGCGTTTTTATTTTATAGATCATAATAACACTTGATATATCCCTTTGGCAATAAAGAAGGTCTCTGCTGTGCAGACTTCTACTGTGGCCCAATTCCTATGATATCACAAAACAAGGAAAAAAAATAGTAATCTAAGAGCATCTGTCAAATATTTAGCTCTAGGCTGATCATTAATGTACTTTTCAGTAAAATTGTTAGTCAAACTTCCACACAGAGAAAATATATTGCTCATGTTGCTGGCACATACTTCAATCTGCAGGAAGAAAAACTTGCAGCATGAAGTTTAGAAGCAACTTATCAAATTAGTTTACAAGTCTTCCACTGAATGATGTCATCTTCCAGTTGGGATGGTAGATGACATCTTTTAAGAGAAAAACCAAAGAAAATCATAGTCTTAATCTCCTCTCAATCTCCTGCATCTCCTCCCTGCCCCCACCCTCTCTCTAACCCCTCCTCTCCCTTCCAACTCCCCCCCTCTCGCCCCCCCAAAAAAAACCCAAAGCCCTTCCATTAATATTTTGTGTTAAGATACGTGATTCTGGCATGCTTTTTGACTTTCAAAAATATGTTTTTATATTAAATTATTTAATCCTGTTATGCTTAAAATGATTATACTGCTTTTAGTGGTGCACTCCCATAGTAATAATCACTTATTTTAGGTATGTGTAACAAAATGCCTAACCCTGCTGCTGATTTTTTGGGGGGGACTTTGTCTTTTATTTTGTTAAAGACTCTGCCATGTTCAGGTATTTCCTTGTAGAAGTTCAGCACTGGGGACTGTACTTAACTAGTTTTAGAAGGTGTTTTCTTGTTCTAGTTGGAGATTTGGAGAAATTATTTAGGAACAACTGACAGTTTGCTTTTAAACTTCTATTTTAAAGACTGTATAGGAAACTCAAAGGCTTTTTGTTAGTTCAGTCTAACTTAGTCGTGTGTTCAATCTGCTAGCACAGTCTAGCACATTGCTAGATCTATTTCAATCAATAACAGCATTTTCATAATATACTGTACTAGACAATGACACTTTGACCCAACGAGTATTGTCAAAAATGTTTGTTAATGGACCCTAAGATGTTTTTGTTGGGTTTTTTAATTTTTTTAGTAACCCTTATGTTGAACATTATGTAATGTATTGTGATTGATGACATATAGGAGGAGTTACATTTTTAGTTCACTTCCTTTCTTGCCATCTTTCACTGTTCAACAAACTGAAAGAAGTACTAGGTTATGTGGACTTCAGTATACTTGTTCACTAACCTGATTTGAATTTAATTAGTCTACTTTCCTAAATTGGAGTTCTCAGACTAGATCAGATGAATTTTGCAGTCTATGAGCTTGAAACATTTGGTTAGTAGGAACCAGTAAGAAGAAACATTTTCTCAGCATGAAATTAGTGGTATTATTCCCAGGGACTTCATTTGACATGAGTTGGGAATCTCATTTTAGTTTTAAAAGGACACATTTTCACATCAATATTGATACCAGTTGGCATCATGGGGTACTGACAGATGTGGAGAAAAAAACCCAGTGCTTTACTTTCAGCTTGGCATGTCCTCACACTAAGTGCAGCACATGTGCAGAAGAGGAATTGCGTCAGTTTGATCTGGCTCCCCAATGTCTGTATAGCTTGTGTGCTTCAGCGAGGCCTTCTGGCACTTTTATCTAGTACCTGATTCAATTTGGTGAACCAGGTCAAACTGACACAATTCCTCTTCCAGTAAAATGCTGTGAGGTTTTGTTTTGGTTTTTTTGCCCCCCTCCCATCCTCTCCCTTCTGTTAGCACCCATTATTGACAGCTTCTGCAGAGAGGCAGCAGCTGAAGAGGCTTAGCATCTTAAACTGTTTTCTCAGCCTTAAAAGTAGTTTTCTTTCAATCAGGGTTGAATTGCAGGAGCTAGGAGGCATGCAGAAGTATCTACTGTTGCTAGTGCTGAGTTGCTTTGTGTGGGTGAGGAGGATGGAATGAAGATTTGGTGTCTTTATTCTTACAAGTCTGGATACGTGTCTCTGCCCCTAAATGGAAATATTGGGTACCTCTTGTAGATCAGTTTGCTGCTTTTATTTGTAACCCTTTCTCTCTCTTCCCCCCTCAGTCCCTCCCTTTGTTGTGGCCCTGCGTAAATGCATTTTATCCCCCTTTGGACTCTTAGCTTTTACATTCCTCTGCTGTATGTCTCAACAGCCCCAGATCCTGCTTGACTTAGTTTAGCTAATGTTGTGTACCTTGTCCTGTTGCAAATAGTGTGCACGCTGTTTAGAGCTTTTCAAAACAACAAATCAATTCAGGAAAGAGGATGAAATAATATTTGTGCATTTTTTTTTCCTGTTTCTTATCAACATTAAAAAAATATTTAGCTGCCTCCTTGCCCAATTAAAACTGTAATACAGAAGTATTTCACAGGAGATTTACAATGATTCTTATCTTTTTCTTTACAGAAATATTGTGGCTACACTTAATGCATTTTAACTAAATTTGTTTCATTGTGATTTTGAGCATGATATATTTGTTAGTAAAGATTTACAGTTTCTCAGTTCATTATGGAAATGAGAAAACAAAGGCTGGTGCATATCAAAACTCACTTCATGCCTTGTTGCCTTTTTCATCTGATACTGTAGTTTCTTTCTGAGAACAAGTTTCTGATAAATTGTAGTGCCATTTCTGCTGACCTCTAAGAAAGAGAGAAGGGCAAGAGAAGTAATTATTTCCTTGGTTAATTTGATTTCCACTTAAGGGTACAGCTCAGCATAAGATGAAATATGATAAAATGAGGAATACCTAGTTGATCTGCAAACCAGCCAGAGTTTAAAAAGTTTGTCTTTCTAGATTTCTTTTATACCCAAAATAGTGTAATGTAACGAATCATAAGCTTTTGCTTGTATAGCTGAGGGGGCAGTTAATCATACTAATTACACATCAAAATTATACTAAAATGGTGCTGCTTTTTACACCTCATTTTATTCAGATTACAGATCTGTCATTGCCCAACTATCTGATGGCTTCTTCAGTTGGACTGCTTCCTACTCAACTCCTAAATTCCTACTTGGGTACTACCTTACGTACCATGGAGGATGTGATTGCAGAACAAAGTGTTAGTGGCTATTTTATATTTAGTTTACAGGTAAGTGTTTTTTTTTTAATGATTTGGTGTATTATTTTCATAATCCTCCATCTTAAAGCCAGTCTTTATAGAAACTTCCTGAAGCTAGGATGAAAACACTTACCTCTGGAAACTTTCTGTACTCTGTCGTCTGCTTGTGGGTATGCTCTTCTTTACTCTCCAACCAAATAAGATACCTCTAAGAGAAATCCAACAGCATGACTTTGTGTGCGTGTGTGTGTGTGTGTGTATGGGGGGAGGAAGAAGGAGAGGCAAGTATTGTTCTTCCCTCTAAGTTTTTACTGAACCATCATTTTTTTGTAATACTGTGCAGCACTATGCGATTGGAGATTCTTTCCTATATTATGCCCCTTTTGTGTCTCTGATTTGGGAGGCAAGAAGTGGAGAGAAGAGGCCAAAAGCATTGGACCTTTCACTTAGGATTTATCACAATATGGACATAGACCTAGAAAAGCTGGCTTATCCTTCACCAGCTTCTGCAATCTACAGTGTAATGGATATGTTGGGAGGTGAGAGAGGAGTTTGGTAGGAATGCTTTTGAGCTGTAGCTAGCCTCTGCTTGTGTAATGACCCAGTAAGGACATAGTCAGTGCTCATCGGAGCATCCTGGAGGCTGAGAATGTCTGTCTGTGCAGCATTCTCGCTCAGTGGGTATGGCTACATGAAACCTTTTTACTGTGCTGTAGACTAATCTGTTGTGCATAAAGCATCACTGTTTACACATGCACACCATTTACTGTGCAGTAAATTAGTCTACTGGGCAGTTAGCTAAGTAAACTAAGTGCACAGTAGATACTGTGCAGTAGCTTAAAGTGTAGCTGCTGACAGGGAGCAGAATTGCTCCCAGTCAGCCCCAACACCAGGGGGCCACAAGGGATGGGGAACTTGCCCAGTCCTGTCTAGCTCCCTGGGAGCTGGGAACCAAGCAGCGCTGGAATGGGGCAGCTCTCTGTGCGCCCTGCCCCTTTCCCTGCCTGCCAGCAATGCTCAGCTCCCCATAGGACAGGGAAATACCTGCGCAGTTGGAGGCTGGCTGGGAACTGCCCCTGAAGTGGGATAGCACCTGGCGAGCCCCTGGATGCATGGGGATTTTCCTGCCCAGCTTGGGGCTGGCCAGGAACTGCCCCGAAGTGGGACAGTTTCCAGCCAGCCCCCAGCTGCATGAGGAAGCCCTGGGCATGGGGCTTGTCCCCATGTTCATAGGCTAGGAGAGCTGTGCAGTGGCAGCTGTTTTCAGGCCTCGTGCACTTAAGGACCCCTCCTGATGTGCACAGGGCCAAGAAACAGGTGCCACTACAGCCGGCAGAGCTCTTTTGGCCCTGTGCGCACTGGGATCAGCCCCTGTGCTTCCTGCCAGCCCGGAGGTTAGCATGCTGTGGGAGCCTGAAGCTCCCCTTGGCTGATACAGGGGGCCAAAGCAGGGTAGGAGCAGCCCTGTACTGGACTGCTGCCAACAGGGGGCACGTGTAATAGATGTGCTCCCAGGGAAGGCTTGCTTCACAATGTTTTACTGTACAGTAAGCCTTTATAGATAGCATTAATAGCATGTAGAGGTGCACCGATACATTGATCCGATATTGGATCGGCACTGATATAAAGAAAACTTTCTGTATTGGAAATTGGTCCGATGTGGCTGATTAATTTGTCCGATAAATGTCCACGCATGTGTGCAGCTGTAGTGCAGCACGTAGGCAGTGAGGAGCAGAACCAGCAGCGTGGAGAGCTGTGTGCAACTTGTAAGTCTGGTGTGGTAGAAGGGGAAGAGGTGCAGGGGTGCAGATCAAGGCCCCTGCGGTGAGGGAGGGTTTGGGGGTTGACATTGGGGCTGGGGCTGCCTGGGCCTGGGATGGACACACGGCTTGTTGGGGGGGGGGGTGCCCCCTGCCACTGTGTGTGGCTTGTCTGGTGGCTCCTGCCGCTGCTCCCACTGTTTGTCTGGAAGGGCATGGGGGAGGGGGGACTGTTTGCCCCCGGATCTGCATGGGGTGGGCTGGGGCTGGGCTCTTCCTGTTCCCAGGCAGGTCTGGGGGCACACGCCCCCCATGCCCTCCTGGATGAGCGGCAGGAGCAGTGGCGGGAGCTGATGGACGAGCCACGCACAGTGGTGGGAGCTGCTGCCCCCCCAATGAGCCATGTTTCTGTCCTGCACCGGCCCTGGCCTCAGTTGGCAGCTGCAGCCTACCCCACAAAGTGCAGATCCATGGGGACACCCCCACCCCTGACGAACTGCTTGCGGCTCTGTCCTGTGCCCCTCCCTGCCTCAGCTGGTCAATGCCTGTCCCAGCTCCATTTCCTCCCTCACTGCAGGAGCCTTGATCTGCCCTCCCCGGCTTGAGCCTTTCCCTCCCTTTCCAGCACACCAGACTTACCAGCTGGATGCAGCTTTTCAAGCTGAAGAGCTGCATATCAGAAATTGGATCAGTATCAGCCAATATGCCTCCTTAAATATTGACTATCGGTATTGTCCCCAAAATCTCTGTCGGTGCACCCATGTGTGGACATGCCTAGTAGGGATTACATTACAGTATTCTGAGAGGATAACATGCCCCCAATTTGTATAGTTCTTTGGAATGGTAGTTGTTATAGAAACGCACAACTTGATTGGTGACCAGTTGAAACGCTGCACTTTTACTGGTAATTCTGAGTTCATGAAAAGTATAAATTACTTCAACAAATGTTTATGTAATTACTTTTTTGACCATAAATCTTGAAGGTGAGCAGTGCTGAATGAGAGTATGGTGAATTGATATTTCCATGCCAGTGACATACAGAGTATGTATTAAAACTTCATATGACAGGATTAGCTGATTCTTTTAGATTGAAAAGCATTTGCAACAGTGCTTGCAAATATGAAGTTGCACTATAATAGCTTGTCCTGCTCAATTTTTATCATAATACTGATATAAAAAGACAAGCTACACATGTGTTTAAACAAAGCATAATGTTTTGTGTGTGTTGCATATCAAGTTTATAATGTATGAGGTTTGCTGATGGAACTTGTTTGTGAATGTTCACAGTATTGTGTTTTGAATATAGGTTAAATCTGGAAAAAATGGGAGAGCAAAAAGGTTATTTGAATAGTTTTCATTTTACTAATGACACTCCATTAGTGGACTAGGGCTGTGTGGGTTTTTCTTTTTTTTTCCATTAAAATTGCTAAGGGCTAAATCAGCTAGCTTCTTCGTGTATATAAAGGCAGCTTCCATAGTGCAGCTGGGATGGTTCATCTGCACAGTGGGGAGGCTGCAAGTAGGAAGGGGTACAGAAGGAGCCATGTGCCCCAGGGGAACAGCATGAAGGAGGTGACCAGGGAGAAGTGGGGGATGTGTTAACTGGAGGAGACAGTCTGTTTGTTTTTCAACACTCTCTATTTTCCCAAGCATGTGCTCAGTACTTTGCCTGGCTGTTTGGGACCTAATGAGTAATCCAGAATCTTTTAAATGCTAACACATTAAAAAACAGCACCCCAAAACTCCCATGCCTTTCTGTAAACATTTCTGAAATAATAAATATGATTTGCTTTTACCTGTGACTTTGGTGAATAGACTAGCTTACAGATGGAAGTGTTTGTGGGAACAGCCAAATTGCAATTAATTTTAGAATATGCTATCCATAAATATGTTATCATATAAAATGTGATTATTGAAAAGCTTTTCCAGGTAAGAAATAGAGTGCATCTGATCAAAACCAACCAATATAACTTGAATTTTCAGCATTGCTTATGATAAGTTTGGGAGTATTCAGACTGCACTAAACATCTATAGACATAATTTGGTTAAAAATCTTGAATAATACGTTTGGGAAAATCTTATCCTGACTTTATATATAGTGGCTAAATTTTTCCATTTTATTTTTTATCTTCTCAATCTATGTTATGAAATGATAATTTTAACCGATTGTTTTACCAGAAGATAATCTGGCCGGGAAGGATCAAAAATAAATATATCAGTGATTGTTAAGTCACACACTGAGATGTTTTGGGCATTGGTCCTGCAACTTGTTGCGTGCTCAAGGATCCCGGCTCACATGCCCACCTACTACAGATTGCAGGATCAATAACTTGTCAAGATAAATGGTGTTTTGGGATTTGCAGAGGTGGGCAAAATGCGGGCCAGATGCGGCCCGCCAGGCCATTCTATACGGGCTGTGGGGTCCCTGAAAAATTGAGAAAATTAATATTTATCTGCCCCTGGCTGCCTGTCATGTAGCCCTCAATGGCTTGCCAAACTCAGTAAGCGTCCCTCCATCCGAAATAATCTTAAAGCATAATAGAATTATACCTGGGTAGTTTATTGGGCAATGTGCTGGAATCAGTAAAGAATGTAGGTACCTACAGGTTGGGTGCTGCAATGCTGAACTCTTAGCTACTTGACACCCAGAGTCAAATCTGAGACCCTGCATTAGGTGCTTAGGTGCCATTTACAGGTGTTTATGAAAGGTTGGCAGGGCTTATCAGGGCTGCTTAGCACCACAAAGCAGTGGTGGGGACAGTTGCAGTTGGACCCATGTCCTGGTGAGCAAAGTGGGTGGTGGGATGGGGAGGGTGGAGCTCTGATTTTTGAATGATAAAAAATCCAAAATCAAACGAAAATCTATAGGTAGTTATAACTTACTTTATTATAGTGATTGAGGCACTGGCAGGCTTCCAGATTGCTTTAAAATTTTAAATATAGTGTTCAAATAAAATAGATGGATATATGTGTTTCATTTTAATAATGGAAAAATGCAGATTTGGGGGGTTTTTGATCAGAATTTGTGATTTTTAAACAGAGGAAACCAGGATCTGTGATGATCACAGAATGAAAGTGACTATCCAGCTATAAAAAAGCCAACCAACTATAAAGTTAGCGCTTGAAAATGTGTAAGAACTCTAGAGCTGTTTTCTGTCTAGCTTTAAGCAGGGGCCTAACTCATGTTCTGGTGGTAGACATGTATATCCATCCTTTGAAAGAACTGAGAATAGTTCACTCTTAGAAAACATTTCTGGAGGAGAATGAGGTGGTGCTCACCTTTGTAAGCACCAAAGGTGGGGGGGGGCTTTAATTAGAGCCGCTCTGATTTAAAGCACCTGGAGTGTCTCCTGTATCAGCTGAAAAATGATGGCAGGGGTGCTTTAACTAAAGCTTGTTGAACAAGCTTTTGTTAAAGCACCCCTACTACCATTTTGCAGCATGGGGATACTGATACATGAGACATTGGAGTCTGCTAGAACATGGTAGTTACCACACTCCAGCAGACTCGATTAATTGAGCCTGCTCTGATGTGCTGTAGTTACAGCGCATCAGAGCAACCTTGCTGCTGGTGTACAGGCACCCGAAATGTAGAGGCAGTCTTTTCTTTCAGCAGCAGTTAGGGCACTGGGCAGAAAGAAATGTAAGAAGCATAGGGCCAAGGAGAATGTGTGCAACAGGGACCTTGACCCCAGCCTCCATTTGTGTGGAAGATGGAAACCCTGAGTTCTCGTCCCTATTCCCAAGACTGTTTCTGCTTTTATTCAGTGATTGTTTGATGTAAAATTAATAGGCAGCCTTGGGAGCAGTGCTTGAAAGAGCCTTGAGAGTGACTGACCACTGAAATGCAAAAAATTTCTGCTGTGTTCTTTCTAATTTGAGTTTATTTGGCTTCAGCTTCCAGGCTGGCAAGGGATATAGAAGAGGAATAAAAAAGGGGTGCTACAATTCTACCTTTCTCTATTCAGTTAAGGAGACCTGTAGTACCTGGTATCTCTTTATGAAGTTACGTTTGTACTATCATTAAGTCACCTTTTAAATCTTCCTTTTGGATAAGGAGCTCAGTCTGTGTAACTTGGGTCTCTTGCTTTTTCCAGTCATGATTAATTATTATGGCAATAATAGGCAATGTTTTTCTCTGAGTTAAGATTAAACCACACCCTGCTTTACTGCTACAAGGCACTGCAAAGCTAGAAGAGATGTCCTTCAGGTGAGACTTAAGTGAAAATGTTATCATTTGATAGAGTATATTCTGTGTATTGTATGTCCTTTCCAAATTCCAGCATTAGTAAGTATATTTTGTCTGTGTGAAAATTGTCTTCTAGCTCTGTTGGGAAAGTTCTTGATATTATGGGCGCAGACAGAAGTAACAGTTTTCTCTCGATGTGGCCACAGAAAGCATTCTATACCTGTGACTAAACACAAATGCGTGGTTGCAGACCACTTCAAAAATGACCAATCAGGTGAAAATCTGAATCCTCATTGCATAAGGACGTTTCAGAACAGAGCATCTTCTGTAACCTGTGTCTGCGCTGCCTGCTAGTGTCAAGCTGTTTTCAGAATGGAAGGGGAGAAAGGGAGTGAAGGGAGTTTGGCTTGGGTTTTTTCCGGCCCTGCTGGAGGGTGGGGTGGGGGTATTGGAGTCCCCCTGAGGTGGCTCAAATTCACCCACCTCAGCCTCCAGCGCTGGCTGAGGAACTCCTATAACAAGCTCTGTTTGCTTCCTTTTCTCTCCCCCACATCCCATTTTGAAAACAGCACGGCCTCGCAGAGAGGAGGGGGGGCTAGATTCCTTCTCTCCCTCCCCCAACCCCCCCCCCCCCCAACCCAACAGTGAACTTCTGTTTGTTCCAGGGGATCCTTGTAACTCAGAGCACTTCCTGCAAAGCGTCCTCAGTTACAGCGGGCAGTGGACAGCTGCGCTTCTCTCTGCACCCTACGTCAATTCATCAGACACTGTTCTAGGATTCAGTGTTTGCCACATGCTTACCTAGCATTGGTTCTGTTTCAGTGGGCGGTTTTTCCTCTGTTATGAATGCCATAGCAGGAAATCCTTAACTTATACCAAATTTGACCCCAAATTTAGGCTGTATTCAATTTTTTTAAATAGAGAGGACCAATAGGAAATTTCTTTGCTTTTTTCCCATTTTAAATCTTGGTTGAAACAGTTTCCACACCTGTTAACATTCTGTGTATCCCCAGGACCAAAATATTGCCATGTATGCTACTTCTGTGCGCGCTTCTGTTATCCTAAATAATAAAAGTGAAAAAGCAAACTGTAAAAAAAACCAGTTCAATTTTAATAATGGTGGTCCTGCTGTCTATCTGTAGGGGTGTGCTGCATTTTAAACAGATTGGTTTTAAGTAATTAATTCTTCCAGAGTGCCTCTTTTAGGAGGCAAAACAGCCCTTATTTCAAGCTGTATTTTTGAGTTCTTTACTGCCTCCTCAGTTTTTTCTATTTTAAGTATAGATTTTACTTATGAACAAATTCTTTTAAACAGGAAAAAAATGGAATATTTTTCCATATTTTGCACTGAAGTGTTCTAATGTCGTTTGTTGTTAACTTAAAGAAACAGCTTGGCTGTTGTTTTATGGATGGCTGTAGTTTTTTTTATGGCTAGAACCATAGCTGGTGCAGTAGTGGGTTCCTTATGAGATCACACATAATAAATAAAACAAACATATTTTAAGAAGCAAAATTCATTCAGCTTTAATTATATTTATGTAATTTTTGGATTATGGGAGTGTAAGACGTCTCTCAAACCATTCCAAATAACTTTGTTAAATTGAGAACATATTGCTCTTTAAAAATAACAGAATATTAAAATGAACATAAAAAAACCCCACCCCTCCAAAATGTGTTGAAGTCCAGGAGCTGACAGAACAATTTCTAAAGTCAACTCTAACTTAATTCAGAACTCCATCTACCAGCATGAGATACCAATCTTATTTGCTTTCTCAGAGTAACCGTAGGCCTTGTGAACATTCAGACAGCTGGACTGCTATAAAAGCATTGCGCTCCCTATGAATTATTGATATAAATACATTTTATTTATAAATATAAATAAATAATATAGATAAACTTATCTGGAGTCCTGGGCCATATCTGGATTGGGGTGCTCTTATGACCCAGATCCAGCAAGGAACATGGTATGGGTGGTGTGGCCATGGCGGTAGCAAGAGGCCTGGGAGTGAGGATGTAGGAGCGCAGTGCCGGTCCGGGGCATTGGCAGCAAACTTAGCTCACTGCTGACAACTGTGGCCATCAGAGTCAAAGAGTCCCAAATTCTGCAGCAGGCCCTGACCCCAGAACTTCTGGTAACCCAGCAGTAACTTGGCAGCCTGGATAGAGAAGCTCCGCAGGCCAGATGTGACCCATGGGCTGTGTTTGATATCCTTGATGTAAATGATACACTCTTTGAGATCCTCACAGTCACTTTGAAATCCTTTGGTCTTGCTTTCCAAAGGATGAAGATCATCTTGGGACTGCAGATGGCAGTACCACATCTGAAGTTGTATAAGTTCTTCATAGTGTTAGTGCCTTTGCTCTTACCCATAGACTTCCCAAACATCCTGTTCTCTTGAGGGAGCTTCGACAGCGTGGGCAGTTCTTAGTGGCCTGACATTTGTGGAGATTTTTCTGTGATGGATGGACAAGGAAGACAAATGCTTGTCTTCTTTTGCCCCTATCTTCAGTCAAGCATCTTTCTCTAATAGTTTGTGCATCAAACTTCCTCAGCAGAATGTTACTGACTTTTAAAAAATTTTATTC